GAGGAAGACACCCTATCTAATGCAGAAGGATGTCGTCGTCTTTCCTATCCACTACAGCATACAATTGGTGGAGATTTGTCTCCTTATGAGCTAAGTTCAGGTGTCTATCACCTCTCCATTTATTCTTGAATCTTGATAGTTAATTGTTGGACAACATTGGTGGTTGCCTCTTCATTCAACATGTCAACTTTCTAATCTGTTGTTAAATAGAGTAAGGGGAGTGTAGATTTGTCATTGACTAAGAAAGTTATCTTATGGTTTTTAAGTTTTGCCCTTGTTGCTCATTTAATGAAAATTTGTGTATCAAAGTAATCCTTATATCAGCACAAGTCCCATAGCAATTAAGTTATGCCGCATAAGTTGTATAGGCCATTAATTCGCTCATCATAAATTTAGAAATTTTTTGCTTGCCTCTTAGGCCATAAATTTTGTAAGAATTAAGTTATGCCTCTTACAACATAACTTGTGGATTATGAAACTGAACTATATAAGTTTTGTACGAATTTAAGTTATGTAGTAAGACATAACTTATTGTGCCTTATGCGATAACAACTTGTGGTATATTATGATACAAAATAATAAGTTTATACTGAGTGAAAATTATTTGTTATATTGATGTCAGGGATATTTTCGACCGACCACCCCAAAATGGACATTTTTGCGGTGAAAATTGACCGCTCCTTGCACCTAACCAATGGGCCGGATAGATGAACCTGGCCATGATGGCCCAGATTCCGTTTTGGGTACTTAGCAAAGTCAGCAATTTGAAGTTATCCATATTGGGGATTAACTGTTCCCTTCAAAATCCTACTTCTAGTAAATTACGTTGTAAAACCTAACAAAAATACAAGGGACGGAATTAGGATTTTTCGTTTTGAATTCTAGAAAACACAGCTTACATATTTGAGTCAGGTTCTGTGAAAGTAGCAGGAGGAATGGCCTTAATCTAAACAATGGAAGAAAGTTCATATACTCGTAATTTCTGCGATATTTATCCTCCTCACTGTGATCCCAAGCAATGGCAATGTCGACAACGATGATAAGCAGTCACTTACAGAGTTTTGCGTGAAGCATTATTTTGGTCCAAAACGGCCTGAAATAATACAAAATAGTAATACTACTATTAATTTGAATGCGGAGACTTATTTCGTCAGAATATTGTTTGAGTGGAAAATTTGATCCAAAATTCAACAAAAAGGATGACTGCCTCAGCAAATTTCTTAGTCGCACCACTCGATGTCAGCAGATTTATCCGTGACTTTAGTTCAATAGGATTTTCATTTTGTATACGAACTAGAAATTAACTAGGTTTTTTGTTTTTCATATTACTAGTCGTTGGGAATGTGCTTGTCCCATATTATTATTATTATAAAATTTCTTTATATTTTAAAAATTGAATTATAAAATAGAAATTGTTGAAATTTAAAATATTAATTCACTTTCCATGTTTTCTAATAGGAGCACCTAATAGTTAAAATGTGAACATAAGCAAGGTTGGTTATGTTTTCAAATGCTTCGCATATTAAAACTTATGGCATGACTTTCAAAAATTGGGAATTCCTCCTCTTATAGTCGTATGCATAACAAGAAGTTGTTGTCGAATGAAAGTAGTATTTTGTAAATGTTGAACAAAAAGTTGATCAACATATGTCTTCTTTAATATGGCTAGAATATCATTGTTAATTTTATAGTATACACCTAGTAAAAAAATAGTAATTATACTATGGCGAAGATAATTAATTATTACTGACATAAAAAAAAGAAAGAATCAATATATATTAATTATAATTGCACCTATATGTATCCTTTCTTTGATTCAAGATTAGGATTTCTTTAACATAAGAATATTATTTGTATGGTTGAAATAAAATCATATTACGAAATATAATAAGAATCAATCTCTATTCAAGAACATTTTCTTTCATACGAAAATTTGACATAAGAGTATTACTTGTATTGTTTAAGTATAATTGCATTACGAAATATAATAAGAATCGATCCTTATTAAAGAACAAGGGACTTGATATAAAAAGTTAAAATATGTAAAAGATGTTAAAAAGTATAAGATTTAAATATCCTGAAAATTATACAGACAATTTCTTAAATCTCAAAATTTTAATTCTATATCACGTTTTCTACAAACTATATTTTATGTATGTGAAATAATAAAATTGATAAAAAAAAAAAAAGAGTTATTAATAGCATATCCATTATGTACCTGATGATGAGAAGTGAAGAGCGCACTGTTACCAAATAAAATCTGAAATATAGAAAAATAAATAAGAATTAGTTAACAAACTGAAGGAAATTTTCATATATTAAATATATATTGTTGAGAACTAAAATGAACATAAGAGAAATAAAGTAGTTACCAATCAACAATATATATTTATATATTCAAACTTTTATGGCATATAGCTTCTAATCTATATATTATATAAAGCTTAAAGATGAAAGATTAATGTGACTTGAGTTATAGAAAATCACTGCACATGCACTATATATTACTCCAATTCTATTTGACAAGGAACATGAAAAGTTCATATAACTTTTGGAAGCTCAAGGGAAAAAATAGTAAATGTGAGATATGAAACAGTAGGATTATAAATTGAGTTCAAGTAATTTGTATTAGGTTAATTAATGGGGAGATGAAAGATTTATATCAATTAAATGTAGTTAAATTACTGATAAATAACTTTTTTTTTTAATGATAAAATGATTACTCAGCTTTTAACTATTTAATATTTTATTATTTACATATTTTATAGCATTTTTATTTAGTCTAGGAGCAAAATGGTAATCCAACTTTGAATGTTGGAGCTTCCCACTTATAATAATATATGATATATGATATGATAATTTATGTCTAGTTATATTAGCTTTGGTTTTGAAAGTTGTTTTTAAGTATTATTTATCGATATACTTGGAAAGTCTTATGCCAATATTTCTGATTCATACATGAAAAACATATATAGTTGTACCAGTGTCTTAACTCAAATTAATCTTATAAATAAGATATATATGTTCGGAGAAAAGTATTGAGCTAATATGCTTAATCAATATGTTGATAAGCCAGTTTTAATATGTATGAAAAAGTTCTATTTTGGAAAGAAAATTTTGAAATAATATTAGAAATACAATAATAAAATTATTCATCAAATTAAAAATACTGATAGAGTCAAAATTGTAATTTATAAGTTATTTAGATATTTATATTTACTCAAATATATAATCATCCATATGAGTATAGATGGTAAAATTAGTACATAAGTAAATAATTTGTCCAATTCATTTAAGTTAACCGCTTATTTATTAGTATAATTCATTTAAAATTCAATTCATTTTAGATCATTAAAAATTAGATTGATATGTAATTAAATTGACTTATAAGTAGTATTATGTATTTTCAGAAAAAAATAATGTAAGAAATATAAGAAGTTTATATTGAGGTTAGTGTAGTGAAAAAGAGAGTTGAGACAAAAAAAAATATTCCAAGTCTTCAACTATATTTACTATACAAAAGAGAATATTTATATGTTGAAGGAAAGTGTTCTTATGTGGAGCTTTGGACTCTTCAACTAAATCCGGAGTTGCTTGAGTTGTACGACGTTGTTGGGCTGTTGTATCCTGGAGGGGACAAGTCAAGACTATTATTGCTGGATTGATGTAGATTATGCCGCCGTGAACTTGAATCTCCTTAAAGAGAACAAGATATCCGTGCCTCAGCTTAAAAATTTGTTTATTCATTTTATTTCAATAGTAATTTATTGTATTTTGTGGTGTATTACACCAACACAAACAATGTGGGACTTTTCGATGTGAATCCGAATTTAGTCGGGCTTCAGGCTTCAATGTGGATACCGGACACCGGATGGAAAACCAAAAAAAAACTTGAAATAACCTGTGAGTCTATTTTGATCCATATATAGAGAAGGCCCAAAATAGTCCCTCATCTTTGAATTAAGACTCAAAGTCATCTTTGAGTTTTCACATGAGTATTAACAGTCCCTTATATTTGCAATATTGGTGCACTTTTGATACTCCTTCAAAATTTTGTCTATTTTTTAACATTGATTTTATCGATAATAAATTATGAATACATAAATTATCGATAAAATCAATGTTAAAAAATAAGCAAAATTTTTAAAGAGTATAAAAAATGCACCAATATTGCAAATATAAGGGAGCCTTAATACTCATGTGAAAACTCAACTATGAGTTTGAGTTTTAACCAGAAGATAAAGGATTATTTTGGGCCTTTTCTCGTCTGAGTATGCCAACAGTTATATGGGTGACCTCAAATTGTATTAGGTCCAGACGGAAAAATCAGAAATCGTCGGAAGCCATGAATTGTCACTTTGCAGCAACAACAGAAATTGCGATTCTATCTTATTTCAGGGTATGTATGTATAGAATAATCAGGGTTTCTTCTTACACCATTATGCGACCAATCTTCAAATCATCCTTTTTTTTTTTTAATGATAATTGGTAAGTTGTTGAAATAATCTCATTTGTTTCATTATGCCAACCAAAATGCATAATTTAACATGAAGTGCAATTTTCTTAATTCAGTTTTATGTATTATGTAGCATTAGATGCTCTTTGCAGAAAGAATATTGGCCGGTGCAACTAATGAGTCCATATTTTTGTAGATTTCTGAATAAACTAATCAACAGGATTAGTTAATTAAGCAGTTGGCCCCTTTTATCTTTTTCATAATCAATCTGCATAGATTCCTGGACCGCATTTGGTTAGTTTAATTCATTATTAGTGGTAAAGACAGAAGTTAGTGAACGTTGAGTCAGAATTTGGACTTGTGTTCATTGATCCAAGGCTTAAATAAATAATCAGCTTATTAATTTATTAGCAGATAAGAGAACTAGCCTAATACTAGCTTTCTCTAGTCTGCATTTTTCTTGTCCTTGTGTAATATATTGGCTTTTAAAGCATTGTGTAATTGTGTATCCTCACTCGGAGAATTGATTGGTAAACTTGATCTGATGGGTTCTGAAAGACAACAAACATCTTCCTCTTTTGTTTCTCCATCCATTTATCATGTGTTCTTGAGTTTCAGCGGTGAAGACACCCGCAAGACTTTTACTGACACTCTTTATGCAGCTTTGGTAGGTGCAGGGTGGCGTACGTTTAAGGATGATAATGAGATTGAGAGAGGGGAAAATATTAAGACAGAATTAGAGAGTGCAATTATAAATTCGAGGAGTTCAATAATTATCCTCTCGAAGAACTATGCTACTTCAACATGGTGCCTTGATGAGCTTGTCAAAATCCTTGAACATAAGAGGACAAAAGGGCATGCAATTCTTCCTGTCTTCTACCATGTGGATCCTTCTGAAGTTAGAGATCAGAAAAAGAGTTTCGCAGAAGCATTTACGAGATATGAGAGGCAAATTGAAGCTGAAAGTGATGAAGGAAAGAGGGAGTGGATGGATAAGGTCCAAAAATGGAGAGCGGCTCTTGGAGAGGTTGCAGATTTGGGTGGTGTTCTAGTAAACAATCAAGAGGATAAGTAAGTTTTTTTTTTACAGAACCAGTAGATTCTTCCTACTGCACAGTAAACAAGAATAGATTAAGATTCTGTTTTCAAGTAAATCTTGCATATTGCTATTTGATGTGCATTTCTTGAGGAATTTTATAAAATCATTAAAGGTGAAGTTAAAGCTTAGGGGGGGAAAAGGTGGGGGAGAGAGAACTACAGGTTCTATCTCAGTACATATATTAATATCGAATTAAAATCTGCTTGAAGTCTCAAATATTTATGGATGTGCGGGTTGACAACTTGAGCTTTAGGATCTTTCCATTGAGACATCCAAGTATTGTATGATACAAACTGATTTCATCAAAAAGGAAATGAAATAAATTACTTTCATGAATAGATAGAAATTTCATGTCTGTCTGTCTTGTCTTAAGTTAGGATGCTGTATTTCCTCTTTATTTTATTTTTTTGCTTTCCAGTTTTATTCCAATTACTTTGCTGATTACACAGTTGTAACTTATCTTGCTTGCATAGAAATTCCTTTTTATAAGTCGTTAAAGTCAGATGTGATAATTTTGGCCAATCCGTTTGCTCCTTGGTAATTGATTAGGAAGGAATCAGAGTTCATTGAAGAAATTCTTCAACTCATTGAGGATAAATTGAACCGCACAATATCAAGTGTTGCACCTTACCTGGTTGGGATCAGTTCACGGGTCAAAAATATCATTTCATGGTTGCAAGACGGATCACATGATGATAATGTTATTGCAATTTGTGGGATGAGCGGAATTGGGAAGACAACTGTTGCCAAATATGTTTTCACTACAAACTTTAGAAGATTTGAAGGTAGTAGCTTTCTTGCAAATATCCAAGATATTTCTCAGCAACCAGATGGCTTAATTCGCTTACAAAAGCAGCTCCTTTATGACTTAACTGGGAAAAAGAGTAAAATACAAGATACTGATGAAGGGATCATCAAGTTAAGAGATGCTATATGTTTTAAAAGAGTTCTAGTCATATTGGATGACATTGATCAACAAGAACAAATTCACAATATAATTGGAATGAAAAATTGGTTCTGTCCAGGTAGTAAAATAATCATAACAACTAAGAATTCATGTTTGCTGAAGGTTCAAGAAATTCAAAAAGTCCATAAAGTCAGGGAAATGGGTAATGATGAATCACTAGAGCTTTTCAGTTGGCATTCCTTTGGGGAAGACCACCCAGCTGATGACTACATGGAACTATCAAAGAGGGTGGTAAAGCATTGTGGAGGGCTTCCTCTGGCGCTTCAAGTTTTGGGTTCTTCACTTCGTGGGAAAAATATCGATGTATGGAAGAGTGCATTAGACAAGTTGGAAGCGATTCCTGCGAGCCAGGTCATTAAAAAACTAAAATTTGGGTATGACTCATTAAAAGATGATCATGATAAGAATTTGTTCCTTGACATTGCCTGCTTCTTCGCAAGAAAGGACAAAGATTATGTTATTGCTGTGCTAGAGGAATCTTATATTTATACAAGAGTTGGGATTCAGAATCTCATAGATAGATTCCTTTTGATGATTGAGGGTAACAAGTTGATAATGCATCAAATGCTTCGGGACATGGGCAGAGAAATAGTCCGTCAAGAATCATCTAAGAAGCCTGGGAGGCGTACCCGGTTGTGGCACTACAAGGACTCATTTAATGTATTGAGAGAAAACATGGTAAACATTTCCTTTCTGGTGTATACTTCCTTTTCTTTTGGACACTGCTAAGCTCTTCTCTAATTCCTTTTTCAGGGCTCAGAGACTATTGAAGGTCTTTTCTTTGACATGAATATGGTAAAGGAAGACGAATCCTTCATGGGAAGTTCTAGCAGTGGAAGAAAGTGGCTGTTTACAGAAGTTAAGAGTTATCGGTTTGGTTTCTCCAGGCATCCCAACAAATTTTCTTCAAAAACCTTAAATGAGCTTGAATTGGGAACAAATCTCTTTACAATTATGAATAAGCTAAGACTGCTTCAGATAAATTATACACATCTAAATGGTGCTTATAAAGATTTTCCCAAGAACCTGAGGTGGCTATATTGGAGAGGTTTTCCTTTGAAGTGTGTGCCAAATGATTTTCCATTGGAGAGCTTGTCTGTTCTTGACATGCGGAACAGCTGTTTGGAAAGACTGTGGGAAGGAAGAAGAGTTTGACAATTGTTTTTGTGTTATTAGTTTCCTCCACTTTTAATGAAGTGTTGTAGAATATGGATCTCATTACTTATCCTTTTCTTGTTATCTTTTTCATCGTAGGTGCTTCCACTGGTAAAAATTCTCAACGTCAGCCACTCTCATTCTCTTATCAGAACTCCTGATTTTTCAGGACTCCCAATGCTGGAGAAGCTTGTTCTCAAAGAGTGTGTCAATCTAATTGAGGTTCATGAATCCATTGGAACCTTAGAGGCTCGGCTCATTTTCTTAAATATCAAAAACTGCAAAAGACTAAAGAAGCTGCCCAGAGAGATTTGCAAGCTAAAAGTTCTTAAAACCTTCATAATATCTGGTTGCTCAAATCTTGTAGAGTTGCCAAGAGACTTGTGGAGGATGCAATCCTTGGAAGTGTTTCTTGCCAATGAAATCCCAATGAGTCAATTACCCTCTAAGAGAAAACAGAACCCAATATGGCATGCACTTATCCGGTCTTGGGTTCCAAATCCGAAAAAAGTTCTAGACCTTCCATGGGTTTCTTTACCAAAGTCTTTGGTTAAAATAAGTCTATCTGGGTGCAACCTATCTGAAGATGATTTTCCGAGGGACTTCAGTAATTTAATGTCGTTGCAGAACCTAGACCTCAGTAAAAATCCAATCAGTTGTCTTCCAGATTGCATCAGAACTCTTTCCAGGCTCAATAATCTTGAATTAGCTTCTTGTACGATGCTTAAATTTCTCATAGACCTACCTCGTGTCCACAATTTGGGGCTGGGATACTGCACTTCCCTAGAAAGAGTAACATATCTATCCGTAGGGTGTCGGGCAAAAGTTTACCATTTAAATGGCTGTAAAGAACTCACTGATATGGAGGGAAGCTATAAGTTGGAATCCATGGGAGGAGTTGAGAAAACAATGAAGTCGTTGGAATTAAGCATGTGGGATTCTGTCGGAAGCTTTGAAGTGAAATTATATAACAATTCAACTCATACAGAAAGTAGAGGACCAGTAAAGGTATTTTCTCCTCTTCCATTCCCCCTTCCCACCCCCAAAGAAGGGGTTGACGGATCTACTGTCATTTGTGTGGTCAAACTTCTTCATGTAACAGCTGTACCTGTTGGTTCCTTTTTTGTTTTTATTTTGTCATTTTTAATGAGATTCTTCATGACACAGGTATTGTTTGAAAGCGGAATGATCAGCATATATCTTCCAGGGAGCATGGTTCCTGATTGGTTTTGTTACAAGAGTGCTGGATCAACTCTATCTTTCACCGTCTCTTCATCTCCTGATCTCAAGATCCAGGGCATAACTGTGTGCTCAGTGTACACAATTGACTGGAAAGTCTGGGTTGAGGGTATCCAGTTTTATTTGATAATCCATAATGAGCAGAAGAATGTGAAACTGATTTATAGCCCGACTTTCTATGGTCTTCCTGAAGCCCAAAACGAAATGTTATGGTTCACCCATTGGATATTTCTGAGTCAGCTGGATGCTGGTGACACCTTGAATGTCTCAGTTGTTACTATGGAGGGTTTTTGCATCAAGGAAATTGGTATTCACTTAATGCATGGAGAGCAAGTAGACATGGTTTTGAACTCAAACAGTCAAGAAATGCAGCGAGATTATCCTTATCAGGGGATGATGCCTACCAAACGTCAAGGGCTTGTAGATTTATACTGCTATGGCCATATGGGGATTGGATTGGACTTCATTTTGCCCTACATACCATGAGATCCATGAATGGGAATACATATACCTGCTAAAATCTTTGGAGGAGTCGGATGCAAAATATGACATCTTAGCCATCATCTCCCCAAGTATCTTCTTTTTTCTTCCTTCATTTGAAATTTCATTTTTCTAGAAAGAACTATTTATGTGGAATTTGGATGACAATCAATACTTCTATCGTCATCTTATTCGTAATTATATTTTATGATAGACATTTCTCTAATTTTGAAGAAATATGTTCTGAAATACTCTATTAAGAATATTGTCTTGTGTTCTCGAGGAAGCTGCTTCCTTCAAAATTCGTGTAGTTTATATTGAAGACATACTTGGCAATTGTAGTTTTTCATATCCCACCCATACCACAAACTTCAGCTACACTAACTGTATCAGTCCTATTTTTCAACCACAGATTAAGGTCTTTAGCCCGAGAATCTATTCCAATGAGATAGGGCGCAATACATACAACTGAATGATTTATTTTCTCTTCAATTACTTTGATGATCTTCTCAATAAACTGTGTCTTGTTCCAACAAGAGCAGCACACAAAGACCAGACATTAGAAGGTAGAATCACAAACTTGTCATCCGAAAACAGGAACATTTAATCAAAGTATAATTGAAGACACAGTACATGGGCTGCTACACATAAATCTTTTGGGTAATAATGGAGCTTACCTTTCAGTTTGGCCCTGTAAAGTCATTCCCCCAAGACTAGAAACTTCTTTGAGTGCTTTCGCCCACCCTTCGATCCGCTTAGCCCATGCTTGACCATCTTCTGAATTTTCCAGCAATTTCTTTTCATGTCGAGCAAATGCTATGGAAAAGCTCCCTGATTGCTCTTTGACATCAGATGAATCAACATAGTAGAAAGCAGGAAGAATTGCATGTCCTCTGTTCTTTTTGTTCTCCAGGATCATGACAAGATCAAGGCACTAGCTGGAAGATGCATAGTTTTCGACAAAACAATGATTGATCCCTTTGACTGGTGGATAGCTTTATCCAGTTCAGACTTAATGTTCTCTCCTCTTTCAATCTCATTGTCATCCATAAAACTACGAAGACCCACATCAACCAAAGCCTCATAGAGCTGGTTAGTGAAAGTTTTGCGAGTTTTCTTCACCCCCTAAAACTCAAGAAAACATCATAAATACTACTAGATCTGAACTTGGAGGATTCTTGAACTTGTTCATATGCCATTGGTCAGAATAGCAAATCAAATTTGACAGCTTTTCAGTAATAAGGATTTGGACCCTTGGCAGAATGCAATCAAATGGTACAAAATTTAAGCTTGAAAGAATGATCTTTGTTCTTGTTTGGACTTATTTCTCCCTTGTGAAGTTAGACCTTGAAAATATCAATTCTTGTTGTTTTCTAATCTCTTGAGTCCAACATTCTGACTTTAATGTATGTTGGTCGATGGTTTTCATGTATTGTACTCCCACTGTCTGAAAATATTGGTCACTTTTCACTTCTCGAGATTCAAACTACATGAACTTTGATCAACATTTTTTCTATTGATATGACACAAGAAGAATTGCAACTTACATTATTTCTCATATGGTTTTCGAATATCTAATTTTTAATTTAAAAATCTTGAATTAATATAGTCTAATTTTACTCTAAATATTAGTCAGATGGACTCTCAAAAAGTGAAAAGTGACTAGTATCTTGAGACGGGGGAGTGGACCGTGAAGTAACTAGAGAGGAATGGAACAGTTTTTCCAATGCAAAATGTCGAAGAGCATGAAAAATGTTGTTGTCATCGGCATAGTTATGCTACATCCATGGAAGTGACGAACTACAATGAAGTGATTTAATTTGAAACTTGTGTATAGTTCTGCAAACATTATCGCAACACAGGATTAAATATAATTTTAACTAAAGCAAACCATGAGAAATCCTCGTTTAGTACATCCAATACAAAGATCAATGAAACCAGTCCACAAGGCTAGATCATGAGATTTATTTGTGATTTCTTAAATTTCAAACATAGCACAAATAATAGAAACCATAGCGTTTGGCTTATAATAATTTAGTTGTTGTCCCACCAGAATTGTGATTGGAGATAATCCACAACTTTCTTGTCAACTTGAAATGCTTTCGCAAGAACATCATCATTGATTGGTGGATCTGAGCCAAATACTGCATTTGCAATAGTGATGACTCCTGGATTTTGGCTACTGAGTCCAGCAAATGCAACGGCCTTAGTCTTTCCCACATTAAATTGAAAATGAATCAGACCTATTGGAAAAATGAACACATCTCCAGGATGTAGTATCTTGGTAAAGAGTTCATTCTTCATATTTGGACCAGGGTTCGAAAGGACAAATCCAACGTAGAGCGTGCCCTCAAGGACAGCAAGAACTTCAGTTCCTCGAGGGTGAGTATGAGGTGGGTTGAGACCGTACGGTGCAAAATCAATACGAGCTAAAGAAATGCCTAGAGTGTTGAGTCCAGGCAAGTTGTTAACATTCACAGCAGTTACAACAGATCCAAGTTGATTTGAAGTATTCCCAGGTACATTTAACCCTGGTCTAAAGAAGTCATCTGCAGTAACATCCTTTGGATCCTTGCAAAATTTCCCATTCACGAAAACTGTACACAGAAATCACAATTAGAAAGCAAAAAATAACAACAAATACTATAATAGTATAGAAAACAAACAAAAGCAGCAAGAAGTATGCAAAAGCCATTATTGAAATAAGAATCAAAGTTACCAGCAGACTTGGAATCATTAACAGCAACACAAAAATCTTGTAAAGGACTAGGATCAGATGCATGGCTTATTGAAGTCACCACAGCCAATATGACAATGGTTAATACAAAGTACTTGAGAGCCATAACAATTAGTTCAAACTCTGTCTATAACAATTTAATTTATGTACTCTGTTTTATCTGTGTGAGAAACATGAGCAGAGATTTGTGGCTATTTATAGATAAAAATTTGATCAAAATAGTCTTCAAACAATGTGTGGATTTGGCTTCTGCATGCATCACCAAGTCTTCCATGGTGAATATTTAAACAATTATGTCATGACGTTATGTCAACAACGTAACTATTAATGACTAAATCTTACTACAGTAAAAAAATTGTGAACATTCGCAGTAATAACAAGAAATCTGTCTAAATAAAGCGAAGTTTGAATTGGTAAAATATTTCCCTTCCCTTAAAGTACTATTGAAAGTTTTACCATTTCTATTAACTTTCCAATTTTGACTTTGTTACTCCTTATTTCTTCTGTATTTTTCTTATTTCATAATACTGACCATTTCCAATGGCCCAGGGAGGATTAATCAGTCTCTGTAGTTGTTGAAGAAGGGTTCAGGATTTGGGTTTATTATAAACTAATCATCAAAGATTTGGTAATTAAGAAGCTACCTTAATTAATTCATTGTTTATTTTGGGGTTAATTTAATTTGAGGACTCATTCAGGAAATTTCATCTATAAATAGCGCTGCCATTCCCATGCAAAGTCTATCACCTTCAAGCTTACAAGAAAAAAAACTAAAGCAGTATCGTTTTAATTAATTAGAAGATTAATTATGGCTTTGGCCCTGAAGTTTCTTGTTATCACCATTGCCATATTGGCTTTGACATCTTCACCTAGCACTGCCTCAGACCCAAGTCCCTTACAAGATATCTGTGTTGCTGTTAATGACTCTAAAGCAACTGGTAATTGAGATTAACAACTGCTTAAGTTCTAGCTTCGCGTTTTACATGAATACAGAGTGATTTTTCTGGTTTCTAATGTACATTTGTTTTCATGCAGTTTTCGTGAATGGAAAAGTTTGCAAGGATCCAAAACTTGTCACAGCTGATGACTTCTTCAGACCAGGCCTAAACAAGCCTGGAAATACGTCAAATCAACTTGGATCAATTGTTACTGTTGTCAACGTCAACAATTTACCTGGGCTCAATACTTTAGGCATTTCTTTAGCTCGTATTGATTTTGCACGACGTGGTCTCAATCCACCTCATACACATCCTAGAGGAACCGAGGTTCTTGTTGTTCTTAAGGGAAGACTCTATGTTGGTTTCGTCCTTTCTAACCCTGGCCCAAATATGAAGAACAAGTTATTCACCAAGATTTTGAACCCTGGTGATGTCTTTGTTTTTCCCGAGGGTCTAATTCATTTTCAACTTAATGTGGGAAAGACTAATGCCATTGCATTTGCTGGTCTGAGCAGTCAAAATGCAGGAGTTATCACTGTTGCAAATGCAGTATTTGGCTCAGATCCACCAATTAATGACGATGTCCTCGCTAAAGCATTTCAAGTTGACAAGAAAGTGATTGATGATCTTCAAGAAGAATTTTGGTGGGATAATAACTAAAAGTATAAACCAACAACTGACCATGTTTGTTTCTTTAAAAATATATACCATTCAATTAATGATGTTCTAATTACATGTTATGAAGATATAGTATCTGGGACTGATTTTTTCATTCAGGTTGATTGATGTTATTTGAATAAAGATTGGTTAATGAAATTAAATAGTGTATTTTCATTTTTGAAGGAAACATAATGCTTGCCTAATGATTTAGAAACTGTTGATAGAATATGTGCTCGATCATGGGAAGTTAGAAAACTGAAAGCTTGAAATCCACTCTGCAAATCAGTATTATGTCCTTTGGCCAAATATCGTTACTCAAAGTGGCAATGGGAATTTATCATAATAAGGCGAAGTCGCAGTGTCTATGTTGAGAAAATAAGCTTGGCATGGCATTAACCAACGAGGACACATCTTACATGAATTCAAACAACTTTTATTCGTCTTTTATAACAGAGAAGGGTCTAAAATACCCTTATAGTATCAGAATTGGTACAAAAATACCCCTCGTTTACCTTTTGGCCTCAAATTACCCTTGGGGTTAATCTTTAGGGACCTATTTTGCCCTTTTGACTAACGGACTACTTAGTAAATATATTTAGTTATTTCATTTATTGCGTGGCATGCTGTAATTGGTTGGAAATTTAATTAATTAAAGCCTAATTTGGTTGACCCAAACCACCCTATCCA